AAACAGACTGGAAATGCATCTGCATTAAATGATGTTAAGCCAATCAGAATCGAGTATTCAGACAGATCATGGTATTATGCAAAATAAAGTCAAGGTGAATCAAGCTTTATTCTTAATGACAGACTGACTGTACGTTAATATATTTATTACCAAAAAATATCGGTTTGACTTTATTTTATTACTTTACTTGGTGATTAGCTTAAAGATTCAGCTTATGAAAATAGCAACAACTGACCTAGCAAAGTTACAGTATTAATTATATATCTTCAATCCAAGTTATTACATTGACTTGTTAGCTAACATATACATTCTAGCTATTTACCAAATAATTATCCTTATCAAGTCTAAAGATGGCACTATAATGAGCTATTCTTACTTTATAGGGAAAGTAAAGAAACTGCCAAGTAATACTATACTTTATACAAGTAAACGTAACCTGTAGCATGCGTTATTCTTCATTAAATAACTTAGTAAAAATGATAAAAAGCATTTTGCCATGGACAATGAAGAAGTATCATTAGTATACAAAAAGTAGTTGACTACTCAAGGCTGCAATTGACCAATCATAATAAATTACAGGGCAGTAACTGTTCTCTTTTGTGTGCAACAAACTATTAAATCGAATGAAATCTAAAAATTGCTATTTGATATGAACTGCAACAACAAATTGTGTGTTTTAACAGACAATTTGAGGAGCAGACGCATGACGTCACTCAGAGATAAGCACCCTTGGCCGAAGATCTGGTTACTGTTGTGTTCCCACCACTATATTTCTTAAACCAGAAGGGCTGAATACACCAGCTTTCCAGCTGTAGTCCACTCATTTGCCAATGTGAACGGTCATGAATTTGTGTTCAGTCCTAATTCTTCCAAGTCCTGATGTCAGCTTTGGATGCTCTCTGGAGGAGCAAAGAGATTTATGTGTTATTTTAACAAAAATACACAAATCTCATTCTTTGCTGAAGTGGACTTCTACAACAGTCGATTTAGAAAGACATTTAAGAGCTTATTTTTCTCATTTTCCAGTCTTACCCCAATATTCTTCATTGCAAGTTTGGCAGTTTCAGTATATATGTGTTTCTTTGCTTGAATGATCACATGTTTGTTGGATCCTGCCAGGATATCTGCTCTTTGCTACATTTCTCAGTGGTCTGTGGAATTGGAGGAGAACTGGAAAGATTATGTGTTGTTATATGAAAGACTATTTATGCATGTGGGTCCATAGGGTCCAGAGCTATTATGCAACCTTTCTCTCTCTCTCTCTCTCTCTCTCTCTCTCTTTTTGTTTCCCTCTATTTCTGGCTTTTTTTGATGGCTCATTTTCTTTTCTTTTTCTTTCCCTGTGTCCCTCCGTTCCAAATAATGACTAATATTTTCTCCTTAAATTAGCATGCGGCCCCAAGCAGTTGTGGAGAGGGATAGGCAAGGAAAGAAGGAAATCTGATCAATGCCATGTGTCCTGTATGATACCCCTATGTTCCAGCATTAAAACCAAAAGAGTGAACTTTAATTCACTTCAATCAGAGCTGAAATAGACTTACGAGAACCTGTGCTGCATGTTCGTTTTTTGAACATTTCTTTGTGTTCCAAATGTACTTTTAAGGTTCATCTGACCTCACTCGGCCACGTTTCAGGGGGATGATTACATAAGATGCTAAATATGCCTGTGATGAGACGACTCAACGCCTGTGATGAGACGACTCAACGCCTGCGATATGTTATGGCGCCGTTTGATTCATAAACAATATTTATATTTAATATTTATATTTAAACAATATGAATGTAAGCCAGAGGAGAACTGGCCCCCGACTGAGCCTGGGTTCTCCCAAGGTTTTTTCTCCATCCAATCTGATGGAGTTTGGTTCCTTGCCACTGTCGCCTTGCTTTTGGCTTGCTTTGAGCTTGGTCAGTTGGGGTTATTTATTTAGTGTTTAGCAATGTTGTTGATCTGTGTTGTGCTACTTACATGTTATCACTGTGAAGCTGCTTTGATACAATCTGTATTGTGAAAAGCGCTATATAAATAAATGTGACTTGACTTGACTTAAATAGAACAGAGCAAAGGACTATTTTTAACTTGACACAGTGTCTTAAAACCACAATGCACATGGTGAGATGTTTAAAAATCAACATGAGATGCAACACTACCGCCAAAGCAAGGCTCCAGATAAAATAAATAAATAAAAGATTTACTAGAGCCATAAACTCCTAAAATTAAACAAAGGAGACTTTACCTTTTAGTTGAGAAATAACCGAAACCCTCGAATAAGGTGGTTGTTCGTTCAGAAGTGCTACAGTTCATTGAATGCATAGATTTACAACAAACACTGCTATATTGAAGAATATTTTATATAAACTGTTCTTCTTGTATTTGTTCTAATTTGATTCTATAGCCTATTTGTAGCACATAAATACGCTTTGTTTTGTAAAATTATTTGTCTGTGTTGTCGAATTATATAAATTAAGTAGATCGTAATAAATATGCTATTCACAAATTTAGCCAATCAGAAATAGACTGATGTAATTCTGACAAACCTATATATATATATAAAATATTGAACAAAAAGTTCCCGTTCATGTCAAAGACGAAACAAACAAAAGGAGTCAGAGGGAGTCAGTTGTGAAATCTGTATGATTCACTAACTGAGTGAGTCTAATTCAAACCATTAATGATTATGTCAAACTATTAATTATCTTATTTTAGTTACACTGCTGTTTTCCCAATTGTATAGGTTTTAACTTATTGTTGTGCCGAATCAAACCATGCAATTACAATATCCAGCTGCATGAAAATATCTGTGTGAACGATTTGCTCTCATATTCACTTAAGTACTCTTCCCAAACATGAGGATAGTGTGTTTTACCCAGCCAGAGGCAGATGACTATTTGTTTTCTTTCATTTTCCATTATGCTCTTATCTTCACCCAGGAACAGCTTTTAAATGACAGAACATCTTTGATTTGGGCCTTCAGAGCATCCTCTCACTCATGCTACTACACAGATGTGGAGTGTTTGACATTTGTAAGCTCCATTAGTGAGCGTGTCCCCTAAAAATATCCTGCCGTATGGTACTCATTTTTAATGTGGCACCAATCCTTGGTGTCAGATGCAAACAAAATGTTGATGAAAGAAATCCCTCACTCTCTCTCCCTTCTTGTTTGTGTCGTGTATGCGTCCTCCCCATAATTTGTCCACATGAAAGCAGTCAAGTACGGGCACAGCATCTGTTCGGCTCATTAAAATCAGCAGCTCTGCAGCCCTGCAACAGTTTAGCAAGAACGATCAAACTTATGGGTTTTAGTCTTATGGGTCATCTGGGGCTGGGCTCCATGCTGCCACTCAAATGGCCAATGCTACAAAAAAATAAACATTCACGACAGTAATTTAAAATCTATTTGGCATTGGTGACAGTCAGTAAACCTTGTTTTCTTGCAACCAGCGCATGAATGAAAGTCGTCCAATTTGAGCACAAATGACTCTTATGAACCAGTTCTTTTTAACAAATCACTCAACAACAACAACAAAAAAAAGATTGGCAAAACACACGTAAGTTAGTGGCTTAAATCAGTCAGTGAATCGTTAAAAAAAATGATGAGGTCACAACTGACTTCATTATTGAATTGAGAGTCTGTTTTTGTTTTTTGTCAGGATACGTGTATTCTAAACATTAACATACAAATGTTGATTGTTTACTGTAATGAAGTTAAATTGCAATGTTGACTCAAAGGAAACTTATTCTGGCAGTAACACCAATTTACATTGTTTTTGAGTTCACTTTTTTTGCATCCACCTCCTAGATGGAGATCTAACACCTGCTTTCTGAGCTATAAGAAGAATATTTTTTAAATAACTTTGCTTGTGTCATGAGCTTATGTGGTGGATTTTGTATTGATGTAGCATTTGAATAGTCAGCATCCTTACAAGCCAAATACCCTGCTGGAGACAAGTATGCATTTTCCAAAACATTCATCTGGTCCTGCATAAAACTGTTGTTTACTTAGAAGTAAATGTAATTAACGCAGCCTCAGGTTTAGAGTAGATTTAAACCACTTGTTTGTCACAGACGCTCTGTCGCAGTGCACCGCTCATTAAACACGCTCCAAGTTTCTCAGCTCACAGGAATCCTAATGTGGCCTCAAACTTTTTCTAATGAAGCCCTTAAAGGAAAAAAAAGAATAAAAAACAGAAAGAATAGGAATAATATACTCCACCCCAGTAAGGGAACCTATAAAATCCTATAGCTCTTTAATGAAAACCTGTCATCTACCCAGAATGTTCTGCTCTCTTTCTTGTGTAAGGATGAACTGCCACTTTATTTTACTTTATCCGTTTTATATTGGTTCTCAAACCAAAATTGACAGTGCTGATTTATAATTCAATTTGATTTTAAAGAGTTCCCTCCACTCAAAAGGTCTACTAGACCTGGGGTTGTAAATAAATTGATGCCTTGGACCCCCATGATGATAGTCCCCTTGGAAGAAACCCTTCTCCTAAAATATAAATGCAGCTATATATATTAATTTACATTTAATTTGGGATTAAAAACATTAACTGGGGAATAAAAAAAAATACTATTAATCTCATGATATTTTTTTCTCTCTGAACATTTCCACAGACCCTGTTAATAATAGATTAGACACAATTCCAAAAAGTGTCCGGACAAGGAAAGGTTCTGCTCAGGGTTCACAGTTTTCCTATACTAGAGGAAGAGACCGTACTGAGAATAGTATACTGAAGACTGTATGCGTGTTCTGTGTATTTGTGTGTGAGAGCATATGCCCATAAAGCTGGTGTTAGTCTCTGAGATCTTCACCATTGGAGATTTGTCTGTCCCTTTCCTACAGCGTGCCTAAAGCATCCTCATAAATAAAACCAGATGGCTTCAATATGTCTTGAACTGTAAGAATAGCTTTGTACTGGCCTTGTAGTGTCACATCAACAGTTCTGAGGGGCAGAGTTTTAATGTTTAATAAGGCAGTTGACTGTTTTTCTCCTTACAGCAGGATGAAGACGGCGGAGATCTGTGTGGTCCTGTTTGTCTTGGTCTGTGTGTGTGAACCGTCATTGTCTTTGGACCCCCGGGATCCAAATGTCTGCAGCTTATGGGAAAGGTAAGCATCATGTCCAATATAGAAACTCAGAGCCAATAAAGCCGATTTGCTCCACTGCATGCTGGCAACAAAAACTGCTGTTCATCATTTTTTGCAAGTCAAACAACAACAACACTGCAAAACTCCAGCTCCCAGTCAATATATGTCTTTTGTCCTTAGTTAAACACAAACTAAATCATCTAAATATTGTTAAAATGGGATAAAGTTACCCATGTAGCAAAACTTTAAGAGTTATGAGAATGTCTTCAATACAGATGTATTAGTTATTTAAGTGTTAAATATTAGTCTGTCTATGTCTTGTTCTATTGTATTTCTGTGACCTTTTGGTTTATTTAAATAGATGTCACCACTCACCCTTTATTGAATTTCTACTACAATAATATTATTTGGAAAGATTCATTTTAATGTTTCATTTTAATGTGGTTAGTCATTTTTGGACACCACAAGTTCAAGAAAGTAGAAAGCAAGAAAGTAGAGACTTTGGCTCCACTTCCTTGCATTTATACGCAAGCAAATGGCGGAGACATGGGAGGAAGTCGCGGGAAAGTCGAGTATGTGGTATATCTTCATATTTCGAATATATTATTATTTATAAAAAAACATAAGAGCATGACATAATATCCTGTTCATTGAAGTGCGTAAATTTTGACTGGGGCTTTATCCTCATGCCTAATGGTTTTTTTCGATTTCCAATGCGTCAAGCACATAAACGTACATGTAGTTCGTAAAGTCCATTAAGGTCAGTGTCTCTTTCAATTCGAATTACAACTGATTTCCATGTCAAAGAAGGCACACCGACTTGTTTCGTAATCGCCATGGAACAATGGAAGTTCGAAGGGGTTTACCAGCCGGAGTAAACTTTTTCGGAAATTTTATTTGGCAAGCTGTTTCGAACTCGAACTTCGAATGAAATTCAACTAAACTTTGATTTGGTCCGATTTTGTTTGAATGACGTCACACCAGTTTATTATTTTTTTTCACTTATATAATTTGGAAGCTTGTTTCCGACAATAAATTAAAAAAAATTGCAAAAGATAATTTTATCTCACAATTCTGACTTGCGAGATGTAAATTCGCAATCGTGAGAAAAAAAGTTGCAATTATCTTTTGCCTTTTTTTTATTCTGTATTCCGACAAAATATAGGGACTTTAAGGACTTAACTTTTAAAAAATTCAAGATAAAATCAAATAAAAATGTTTGCCCCGTAGGTCAAGCTGTTTGGAGAATGGATGAATGGGACTTTTTAAAACAATTTTTAATGGGAAAAAAACTGAACTGAACTTAAAACTTAAACATTTAAATCAGAAAATCAACATATTTAGGAAAGACCGTTCTCACTTTAGATTATGGTCCATTTCTTACTGTTAACGAACTATTAACCACGACTATCTAACTACATGGCCTCAATAAGCTCTGAATTGCTGCTTATTAATAGTTAGTAAGTTAGTTTAAGTTTATGTATTGAGTATGATTGAGGGATGTAGAATATGGTCATGGAGAATAAGGCATTAATATGTGCTTTATAAGTACTAATAAACAGCCAATATCCTAGAAATAATAAGCCAATAAGCAACTAGTTAATAGTGAGAATTGGACCCTAAACTAAAGAGTTACCGAAAGATCCATTTATGGTGTAGGGACAATTTGTGAGAGCCTTTTTTTACTCATAAATCCAAAACTGTCATTCTAAAAATGTATTATAAATTCCCGAGGGATCCCATGGCTCGAAAAGAAGCTAATTCTCTTCTGGGATTTATCACTAGAAACTGAACAGCTCTATAATCCCCTTGAGCAAGAAACTCTAATACAGTGACAGTTCCAGCAGTTTGTGTGTTGTACATCGAGCTGAATGATGCAAAATGACAAGTGGCTGGTAAGCATGACAAAAGTTTTGTTCCTTTTTAGCTTCACCACTTCAGTGAAGGAATCATATGCTCAGCCTTTCGACCAAGTGAATGAAGAGACCTGCTCTGAACCCTGGATCGCTAAGAAATGCACCCGGCACAGGTGACATACACTGACAAACACAATATGCACTCAAGCATTTACTCACAGTTACACCGGGCTGACTTAGACTAAACGCAGCATGAATTCTTTCATCCTACTGAGCTGCAGAGGTTTTCAGTCTTCAGCTTAGGTCATGGAGAGATTGTTTGGTTTGGCAGTGGAGGCTTAAAATTGCTTCAAATCCAAGTAATTGTGATGCTGGCGTGCACTCATGCTCCCTTTATTACAATGCTGGCATGGAACTCACTCTCCCTGCCGGTCTTACGGCGGTTCCCAAAGGCCTTTTTAAGTTTAATCTGAACTAAGGCAAATGGTAAGGGCACTGAATGTTTAATACATTTCTAAATACTGTACGTTTATGCATAAAAGTTGATCCAAGACAACTACTGAATAAGAAGTCTTACTGTCGGACTTTATATTCCAACTACAGCTGATCTGTGATACTGAAATAATGAATATTGTGTGGTCTTGCATTTAGCCTGTGAATTTTCCAGTGGTTATTAAACTGTTTCTCTTATTTACTCTCCAGGATCACCTATAAAACACTTTATAGGCAGGTGGTGAAAATGGACTATCGTAGGAGGTATCAGTGCTGTCGCGGCTTCTATGAGAGCAGAAATAAATGTGTTCGTGAGTATTAAACTGACATTTTTACTTTTTGAACGTTTTTTTTTTGTATTTCTCAGCTCTCTCTGTGTTTATTTTTCCCTTCCTGCTCTATGTGTGTGTAGCACGTTGCACTAAGGAGTGTGTCCATGGCCGCTGCGTTGCACCTGATCGTTGCCAGTGTGTGAGCGGCTGGCGTGGAGACGACTGTTCCAGCTGTAAGTTATGCGTCACACTTTTTCTTCGCATTTCTGACACACAAAATGTGCAGCATTTAAAGACATTCTCAGTATGAAAGTGGTTTAAAATAAAATAGGGAACTTAGTTTATGCTCAATTCCAAGGCAACACTGCCTTAATGCTTTGCAACAAGCTATTTTAAAAAATGAATCCAAGATGGTGAACAGAGGAAGAGCAATCTGGATTATTAATAAACGTATAATTCATCCAATACTGAAACCTGCTCTGGTTGGTAACCTTTGTTCCCTGAGAGGAGGGATGGAGGTTACTCCCTTCCTTTCACAAATACTGAAGCCTGATAACATGCAGGGGCGGAGCCTCTACTATATAGCTCGGAGCTCACACCGTCATTGAGACAGAATCTCCGACTGAACGAACAAGTGTGCTACGGAGATTCAGAGAGTTATAACACAGCAGCGTGCGCAATGTCTCGTTCCCTCCTCTCAGTAATCCAAGGTTACGCGAGTCACCGATGTTCCCTTTTGAATCAGTCTCTCCTCGACATTGCGTTACCACGCTATGGGGATCGCATACAGTCCCAATAACCAATCAGAACAAGAGAAGTAAATGAGCCAAACGTAAATGAGTTGAGCCTGTTGACCATGCACATCCACTAGGGTAAAATATATGCAAGACAAATAAGCGCCATCTAGATTATAGTGAAGTTGGAGTAAGTAACAGCTTGTCCTATTGCCGGATTGCAGAAGGGAACAGGTTGAGAGTGTCGTTCTCTTAAAGGCGTCCTCAATTGCAAGAAGTAATTTGATGCTTCGATGCTTGCTTTGGAAAGGAGAAGATTCTGACTCAATGACTGTGAGCTTTAAGCTGTAGTGAAAGGCTCCACTCCTAGCTTGCGTGTCATTGGCTGGTTTATTTCACCGGCGCAATGTAATCAGCCTTCAGTATTTGTGGAAGGAAGGGATAACCCCCATAGCATGATTACGCAATGTTGAGAGACCGTCTCAAAAGGGATCGCAATGTCGATCCACCGACTCAAAGGGACACTCTTTTTCCTTCTTTCTGTATCACACCATGCACAGGGTTTAATAAGGAGAGTGAGTGTTTTCACTAGTGAGTGTTCTGGATTCGTTTTTTAAATGTGTGGTCATCTGTTAGTGTTGCTGTGCATATTTTTATTGGGCCCCATTTTCTCCTTTTTCTTTTTTCTCTTGTTTTTTCCCCCACTCCTTTCTCTGAATCTGCTCTCTTCTTAACTCTACTGCTTAATTTTTTTAGTATGTTTGTGCATCATCAAAATGAAAATAAAATTTGAGTTTGCACTGCTAAATTTTTTAGTACATCTACAGTTTTTCTCATCTGATTTGGCACATTTCTCCAAAGTAATTTAAAACAACTTGTTTACAACTAATTTAATACAAAATGAATACAGCCAGTTGTTATTTTATCTATAACATTTATTTTGAAATAATTTTATTTTTATATTTTCATTTTTCATTTTAGTTGAAGTAATTTTGTAGTGTTGCACTGACTGTTAAGTACATGGCTGTCCTTGTATACGTCGTTAATACTGATTTGATTTGACATACTGTGATTTCAGTGGATTACAATGCTGTATAGGCTCCTGTGTGGAGTTTACATAAATGAAATGGAAACTCAAGACTCCGGTTCTAGGCAGACCTTTCTCTCTAATTTTGTCCTGCTCTTTGTTTGGTTGGACTGTGAAACCCCATTATTTGCTCACATTGGCAAGAGGAGGCTTGACACTTCCTGAATGCCTGTGTGTTGGGAGCTTTGTGGGAAATTAGAGAGGTTTGAGGTTTTAAATACACATTTCTTTCACTCTGTCCTGAGACCAAAGCCCAAACTCTATCAAATTGCTATATGACTTACTGGCTGTTTAAAATCACGCAAAAGAGATAATTAATAATATACATAACAGCCTATAGTAGATGCACTAAAAGGCAAAATGCATGCTACAAGAGTGGAATATTCAAAATGTTCAGCATTTTCGCATTAGAAAGAAATTCATGCTAACTATTTAAGTAGGGTTTCTGGGAAAGTGCCTTCAAGAGAAGACCTTTAACCCAACAACGACTTTTCCCTCGTGGACTAGTGAGGAATTTTCCCACATATCAAAAAGTTATTCCGTATCTACTGGAAACATGCTGTTTGATAAAAGTAGTCTTATTTGATTTTTCATCTTCGCACAATATAAACACGTGACTCACAGGATACTAATAATAATAATTAACTTTATATTATAAAGCTCCTTTAAAACAGCTTCTCAAAGGACTGCACTGCACACCAAATAAACAATACATAATTCAAGTAATAAAAGCAACATCAACAATGCTAGTTTAAACATGGACAAAGAGAGTGAAAATGATCTGTTTGATATTCATTGTTTAGAATATTCCATCACAAGTTTTTATCCTGAGGGACTTTAGGGCATGGGGGCTTGGGAACCAAAAAAAAAAAAAAAATTGGTCTTGTAGTGTAGCTCAATTAAGTGTCATGGTCAAGGAAACTGCTTTGAGCTGAAAATCAATCAAGTTCTGAGGCTTCCTCTTATCTTTTTAAAGAGGTATGCATTTGCTTTGAGAACTGGTTGGACGTCAGCTCAGTGGTTGAATTGAGACAGCTGGTGAGCTCCAGTTCCTAAAGCCTGAAATGTGAACGCGGGGTGTTGGAATCATTCATGTCCCCTGTTGTTAGAGTGTCAGTCAGACCTCTAAATATCTGCTTTGAGATGGAAAGACAGAATAAACCTTTCTCAAACAGCCTGCAGAATATATAAAACGTATTGTAAAAAAGTATAAAGTTTGAGGTCAGTAAGATTTTATATGCATATATATTCAGCAAGGACATATTAAATCAATCAAAAGTTAAAGACTACAAGATTTCTATTTCAAATTAATGTTCTTGAACTTTCTATTCAAAAAAGCAGCCCAACTTTTCAACTGTAATGATAAACGTTTCTTAACATTGATAATATGATAATAACCAGAAATTGACCATGATAATAAATGTGTTAATAAATTTCAGATTTCAGAATCATTTCTGAAGGATCATGTGACACTGAGTGAGGACTCAAAAATTCAGCTTTGCCATCACAGGAATATAAATTATATTGTAAAATATATTAAAATAGAAAACAGTTATTTTAGATTATAATAATAAATAGTAGTATTTTGGTACTTTATATTTGATTAAATCTATGCAGCTTTTTGACATTTTGTTTTAAAGCCTTTGAAATACTTAATAAAAGACTCCAACTTTTGAATGGTAGTATATATATATATATATATATATATATATTATATATATAAAGAAGTATATATTTAAATCAAAATAGAAAGAAAACATTGCAATTCAATGAAATACAGAAGTTAAGAAGTATTTGTGGAAGACAATTGAACTAATCCATGCTGATTAATAATCGCTTTAAAGATATAGTTCACCGAAAAATTAAAAATCTGTCAGTAATTACTCACCCTCATGTTGTTCTACCCTCCTTAAGACTTTCTTTCATCTTCGGAACACAAATTAAGATATATTTTGATTAAATCTGAGAGCTGTCTCACTCCCTCACAGGCCTCTAAGGGATTGAAACTTGTCGGCCTAGAAAAGTTATTAAATACATCATTAAAATAGTCCAGTAACTACAGTGGCTCAATCTTATGTTTATCAAGTGACAAGAATACCTTTTGTGTGCAAAAAAACACAAATCATTTCCTTCTCAGTGGGCTTCGAGTTAGTTCACGTTTAACTGCGCAGCGCTTCTGTGTTGTACGGGAGTAATTACTGACATAATTTACATTTTTAGGTGAACTACCCCTTTAAGTTAATATCCCTTAAGTTCAAGAAAAAGTTTAAGCTCTTCGTCCTGTGTGTGTGTACATGTTTTTCTATCCTGGTGGGGACTTGTGTCACTTGTTGTGGGGACCTAAATTGAGGTCCCCATGGGTAAACAGTAAACACGCTTATAAATCATACAGAATTATTATGTTTTTTCAATGTAAAAATACAGAATGTTTCCTGTGATTTTTAGGTTTAGGGATAGGGGCAGTGTAAGGGGATAGAATATGCAGTTTGTACAGTATAAAAACCATTACGCCTATGGAGAGTCCTGACAAAGATAGTAAACCAGACAGTGTGTGTGTGTGTGCATGCCTGTGTATGTCTGTGATGGATTCCTCTTCTTGACCCGTAAAGGGTACGAGTCATCAGTTTAGGTTGTGTCATGACCGAAATCCAATCCCTGTGTGAGCGTTGGCCTGAGCTCTCTCTGAGGTCCGGCCAAACTCCATCTGTTAAATTTCCCATTTGATACTCATTCCTTTTGGTGAGCTCCGTACAAATTCTCTGGTCAATCACGCTATCGATTTGTTATGCTCTAAATGCCAGGGATACTCTGGGATGCCAGGGATTTCCTCAGACCACCTTAAGACAATAAGAAAACCTCCAAGAAATTTGAACAGACTTTATAATATGCTTTGCTGATATCTCAGATTTAGCTAAATTTGTGCTTGTGTTTAGCATGTGACGCCCAGCATTGGGGTACAGGCTGCATGCGACTCTGTGAGTGCCAGAACGGGGGAGAGTGTAACGTTCTTACTGGAACCTGTCAGTGCCCAGCCGGATACACTGGGGAACACTGCCAGGTAGGGCGACACAAACAGCCTCTTTTTTGACCTTGAGATGGTAACCTGTATATAATAAACTGGTTTTATTCAAGTCAACTATAGCCGTGTTTCCACCGCAGGAACTTTCCCCAGGAACTAGGAACTTTGGGGTGGTACTCGTGTGTTTACACCGCAGGAACCAGGGTCTAAATGAAGTTCCGGGTTAAAATTTCCCCCCCAGAAAGTCCCTGCTGGCGAGGTGGTACTTTTTCAGAGTTCAGGAACTTTCGGGGTGGGACTTGTGTGCTGAACATGCTGATTGGTACTCACCACGCAATTCTTTCTGCCCGATGGCACGCGTTCGTCCCATCCATCTCACGGTCAATGTCCGCTGATAACAAACGTAAACGAGCTTTCTGAATACGCTTTGGGTGCTTGTCTCTTTTCTGCCGTTTTGTTAATTACCTCGTTAGTAAACCAATTGCACACACAAGCAGCAAAGCTTGAATCTCCTCCATACAAAACTCAAAACAAACGTGCAGGCTAGGAAGAGCAGTCGCACGCAGTTCAACGTCACTACATAATCTTCCCGCCCCGGACCGGTACTTTAGTACGCGGTGTAAACGCAGTAAGCAAGCGGTCTGGGGGGGAAAAAAGTTCCTGGGACAAATAGTTCCTGGTAATTGTGGTGGAAACGTGGCTTATATTATTGAATACCATATTAATATGAAAATAGTAACTGTGTGATTTGGTAGACGATATATATGATGCAAAAAGATAAAGTTACAACATACATTATATTAAAAGTTGAATGATTTTAATTAAACGCATTTTCTTCCTGTTAGGACCCCTGTCCTGCAAAGTCGTTTGGTCAGGGCTGTCTGCAGCAGTGCCAGTGTGGAACAGGAGGATTCTGCAATAAAACCACTGGAGAGTGTGTGTGCAGAGATGGATTTACTGGAACTCTGTAAGTACAGGACGTACTTTAGAAAAATAATGTGCTTTCTTTCTGCTCTCTTTATATTATGGTGGGATTGCAAATGCTAAATTTAGTCACATAAGTCTATGCATATTTCTATTCACATTATTTTCATATTAAAACATTTTGCAGACTTTATATCATAACCTTGCATCATATACTGTACATTTGTATTCCTGGGGCCAGATTTACTAACAGCTTGCGCCAGCGCAAACCAGTGCAAAAATTTGCACTGAAAAGGCATGGACACAGTTATTTTTGCAGCTGATCTTATTGCATATAATTTGTTGGCGTTTACCTTTCAGATGGAAAATTTCAGGGAGTAGAGTATTTTTTAAAAAAATCACAGTGATTTACTAAGGTGTCTCTGCCTCTCAGGTGCGAGGAGTCGTGTAAAAGGCGCTGTCCTGCACGCTGTCCATGTCAGAATGGAGGCATCTGCCAGGGAAGAGGGGTGTGTTTGTGTCCACCCGGCTGGATGGTGAGAAATATGTCTTGGTTTTGTTTTGTTTTATTCTTTGGTGGTCATGCATTTTCAGCCTCTCTCTATCTCTGTTTCAGGGTGCAGTGTGTACTGAGCGGTGTCCACCGGGCCGTTTTGGTTCAAACTGTGCTAAAGAATGTTTGTGCCATAATGGAGGTCACTGTGATCCAGAAACAGGCCAATGTCAGTGTGATGCAGGCTATACTGGAGAAAGGTCTGTATAATGTACTCTCAGATTATACTAAGAACATGTATTATTCCAGCAACGGTGATAGCTTTTATAGCTTATGTACCGTAAATTAAAATGTATTTAGTTTACAGATCCCTTGAGGCCCTTAAGAATCAAGCCATACTGTGTAAAGCCACTTTTCCACTGTCAGGACAAACCGTTCTAACTGCTTAACCGTTCCAATCTGTGCCGATCCAGCTCAGCCGGTACGGATATGGTTTCATTTTCCCCTGTGGGGCTGATAACGGCTCTATGGAATGTAATACAAATGCGTCAGTTGTTTTCTTGGTAAGGCAACAGTTTACAGATGATATGAGGTAAATAGAGTCCGTGTTATACAGGATGATCAGATACTTCTTTTAATTTTATTTTTAACTTCACTCAAATAGTATGCTTGGCCAGCTACAGAGAAACTCCTAGCCAGGCAAAAGACAAGCCACCAATCGTGAGTGGGACATCACTACACGCATCTTTCCACACACCTTATTTAGCCAACTGTGCTGAGAATTCTGGTCAGAGAAAGGTTTGTAATTGTGCTTTGCCGAACCAAGCTCAAGTGGAAATATAAACGGAACCGCTCCTAATATCATTCTTAGAACTGTTCGGATCGATGGTGGAAAAGTGTCTTAAAGTTCACTTAAAAATGAAAATGCTGTAATCATTTACTCACCCTCAAGTTGTTTCAAACCTGTTTGATTTTCTTTCTTCTGCTGAAAACAAAGGAAGATATTTTGAAGAATGTCAGGATTCGGGAACCAGACAGTTGATGTACCCCATTGACTTCAATTGTAGGAAAAAAAATATTATGGAAGTCAATGGTGCCCATCAACTGTCTGGTTACCGACATTCTTCAAAATATCTTCCTTTGTGTTCAGCAGAAGAAACAAATTCAAACAGGTTTGAAACAACTTGAGGGTGAGTTGGCCTAAATGATTACAAAATTTTCATTTTTAAGTGAACTATTCCTTTAAGTGTCCTTGAACACAGTTTCTCCCTGTAATACATTTTTTTTAAGAATCTTACATTAATAAAAATAATGTCAAAAATAATATTCATATAATACAAAATAAAATATCATCAATAAAATTCTATTATCAAATAAATAATATAAATCTCTAATTTTATCTACATTTAACAATGCAGTTGATTATATAAACTCATTGATTGTATTTGGCCGTTCAAAATATTCGGTAATCTAGAAAAGCTGTAAAAGTCCAAAAAAGTATCCACTGCTAGTTATTTGAGCATGGTTCTATGATTTGTTCACTGAGTGTCTCCTGTGAAGGTGTAACGAGGAGTGTGCAGTGGGTACGTACGGCGAGGACTGTAAGGGTGTGTGTGACTGTGCTAATGGAGCCCGCTGCTATAACATCCACGGTGGGTGTCTGTGTGAGCCGGGGTTTAAGGGTCCGCGCTGTGATCACAGGATGTGTCCTGACGGGGCCTACGGCATGCACTGCGAACACAGCTGCCTCTGCAACTCACAAAACACTCTCAGGTGTGCTTTGTGCTTCCATGTCTCTTACTGACAATTGCCAGTGTGAATACAACTACTACTAAAAAACTACATCCATCTTTGTTCTCAGAGCCCGTTTTCATTTTACTTTTAGTATAATTTTTAGTAATTGTTTTATGTGCTTTTATATTTTATTCATTTTTAAATAGTTTTATTTTTAGTTCAGTTAGACTTGTTTCAGCTGGCCACCAAATGCTTCTTATTTTCTTTGAGTTTTAATCTAATAATTTTTATTTCATATATATTTCAATTAACTAATTGAATACTTGACAATAACAGAACTGCAGAGAAGAAAGACTCGCTATTTGACCATCAAATGCTATTTTGATAACAAAAAAATGACTAGCTTCATATGTTTTGTGTCGTGGATGTTACAGCTGTCACCCTCTGAAGGGGGAGTGTACCTGTCAGCCTGGTTGGGCGGGGCTGTACTGTAATGAAACCTGTGCAAATGGTTACTATGGTAACGGTTGCCTGGAGCCCTGCCTCTGTGTGAATGGAGGGGTGTGTGACACGGTGAACGGCCAGTGCCACTGTGCGCCCGGATATACGGTGAGTGGGACAGACATGGTCAAAAAAAAAAAAAACTTCTGCAATAACTCACAATACAGGTAACTAATGCCATATCAGGCATTTAATATTCCTTTCCTATGTGTGTGTGTGTGGGTAGGGATTGCACTGCGAGAAGCTCTGTGAGGATGGTTTCTATGGGAAAGGCTGCTTGTCTCCTTGTACCTGTGTAAACTCTATAGCCTGCTCTCCCATTGATGGAACATGTTTCTGTAAGGAAGGTGAGTTTTGGCACACTACACATTAAAAGAAAGAATTGGCAAAACACTTGGTCAATGAATTTAGAGCATTAGAGAGTGAGTAAATGAGTCTATAATTAATGAACAGACAAAATGAAGGGAATAATGCTGAGAAATACTGCATTACAAATGCCCTCTTGATCTTTATCATGTTATTTATGCATATATATTTATATATATGCACTTCAGAAATTAATACTTTTACTCTGCAAAAAAAACAAACATTAAACTGATAAAAAGTGACACTTATAAATGTCACAAAAGATTTCTATTTCAAATAAATTCTTTGAACTTTTGCTGTTTGAACTAAATGCTTTTGAACTTTTTACTTTATCCAATAATAATTGGATTGGATTGATTTTTATTTAAAAGGGACCATGTGCAATTAATAACATAAATGTAAACATTTGATGCATTACACCAGAGTTAGCCTTAGGCTAATTTACAGTAATTTACAGATAATTTAATAATAATAATAATCTCAGTTTCCACAAAAATATTCAGCTTAGATAAAAATAAGAAATGTTCCAAATCAGTGTATTAGAATGATTTCTGACGGATCATGTAACTCTGAAGCTTGGAGTAATGGAAAATTGAAAATTCAGCTTTGAAATCAATTACATTTAAAAATATAGTACAATAAAAATCATATTAAATATATTTGTTTCCTTAGCCTCTCCTCTTAAGTAATATTGACTGTCTGATGGGAGAAGTGAGAACAATGTTACACTAACTGTGTGTGTTAAGGGTGGAGAGGACATGACTGTTCCATCGCATGTTCAGAGGGCACATGGGGTCCCGGCTGCAACTTCACCTGCCAGTGTGCAAATGGAGCATCTTGCCACCCTGCCGATGGTTCTTGCAAGTGCACTGCAGGCTGGAGAGGAGCTACCTGTGACGAGGCCTGTCCGGTAACTCAAATATCTGCTTTAGCATACAGTGCACATATGTGTTTAATTTACAACAACCAGTTCAGGAGATGCAGGCAGTTTAGCTTAAGTCACACTTTTTCCTCCCATGAACTGGATTTGACTTCTGTGTTGTTGTCGGTTCAGCATATCTGTCTCCTAAATCAGCTGCAGTCATTTTTACACCATCAGCATAAGTTATTAACCGGATGGCAAATGCATAACACTCTCATGAATGATATATGTTGCATGACCACCATTTAAATTACTAAAAAGTAGTAATTTTGTTAGAGCTGAGTAATCCTACTGGGCAGAGTCAGAGTAACTTGATCGTTCTGAATCAGTATTTCCATTCTGGTTTGAACAGAGCGGGATGTTCGGCCTAGGCTGTCGTCACCAATGTGACTGTCTGCATGATGAAGGATGTGAGAGTGTTACTGGCCAGTGTCTGTGTTTACCTGGTTGGACAGGTAGGACTTCACATTCACGTTTATAATTACGGCCTAATAAATAGTACACAGCAGTGATCAAAAGTTTAAATCAATAGCAGCTTTTAGTTGATCGAATAACAAGTCAAGCAGAAAATAAAAATCACATTGCTCTGGAAAAGGCCAAGTGCATTGCATTATTGGATGGAGTATTGTGTGCAGTTTGCGCTATTCAATATCTAAAAATGAACATCGTGGCCATGAATGAACAATTTGTTTCCATGACTTACTAATACATCAGCACTTTTTAATTCGTTCCCTTGTTTTAAGCAAATCATGCGCACACAGTGTAGTAATTTGTTCACTTTTTTTAAATTTAGCTAAAACGAGGGAAGAGTTCAATGTGGCTACGATTTACTAAAACGTGAGAATGAATACTTAATTTGTGGCCACAATACATTATATATATTTTTGTCTGCATGTCGTGTAGGGCTTTGTATTTATCAGTGTATCAAATATATCTTAGATCCCAAACATAAGTAATAAGTTAATTTTTTGTTGTAGAAAATGGTTGAAGTGTGTTATCAGTTTTGTGTATTTTCAGTTCTAAGAAAATTAGGATCAAGTGTGAAACTTATTAAACTTTTTCCCAAGCTTTTAAAATAGAGCATTACACCTTAAACGGCACAAAAGAGTTTGTTATTTTTCTGCAGGTCTGCGCTGTACACAGCAGTGTCCAGAGGGAACGTGGGGCCTTCAGTGCAACCTGACCTGCTCCTGCCTCAACAGCGCCACCTGTCAGGCACATACCGGAATCTGCCTGTGCAAACCCGGATTCTGGGGAGCTCAGTGTCAACACAGTAAGCTAAGCACACAGTTATCCTTGTGTCTCTGAGAGTTCAGGTCACATTCGAGCTGGTTTAGAGAGTGCTCCCTTCTTTTCTCTGTAGTGTGCAGTGCTGGTCTATTCGGAGAGAGGTGCAGTCGTAAATGCCCGAAATGTGTACATGCCTTGTCCTGCCATCACATTACAGGCGATTGTTTGTGTCTGCCTGGATATATCGGACAACTGTGTGATCAAGGTTAGATATACGGATACGCACTCAAATTCTTCATACAATTACAGTTCATAGTGACCTTATGTCAAGCTCCATAAACTGCCAAAAAACTACAACCATAAAAGTTGCCAATGTAAGTCATTATTCACCAAAAATAAACAAAATAATGTTAATAAAATAACTGCATAAAAATTTGAAATGACACGAGGGTGACATTTCTTTTTATGTCTTAATTCTAGCCTGCCCCACTGGTCAGTATGGAAGCCATTGTAGCAATGTGTGCAGATGCACCAACAATGCAACATGTCACCACCAGGATGGTTTGTGCCACTGTCCCACTGGATGGACTGGACCGGACTGCTCTTTATGTGAGTTTCTGGACAACAGACTTTGTCTATGATAAATTTGATTTCACTGGATTTGCAACATGGCATCACGACTTTGCGTAAACATATACGCCACTATGTCCGTTAAACGTCTGAGTGTTTCCGCGTCTACAGTATGTACACGCCGTTAAATGTCTGAGCGAAACGAAGCAAAATATAGATCTATATCTGGGGAGCTATATTTTTTTTTTCCTAGGATGGTAGGGGAAGACTCATAAATGCTATTAACCCCAGTGACGGGTAGGTTTAGGGACGGGGTAGGTCATATATTTATATACAGTAGGCTAATGTAACATTAAGTCAACTGCATTAATAAACACGCTAAAAAAACGATTATGCGTGTTGATAGCACAGCAAAAATGGAAATACGAATTGGAGTGTCATACGTACGCAATTTCAGATGTCCAGATCTGATGCAAAAATTATATTTTCTAAAAGTTTCTTAAAATTAAGGAAACATTTTCTCTTTGAATTAGGTTGATTGTTCTTACCCCATTGGCAGTATTTTTTCTTGGTTTAAGCATAAACCTTACTTATGTTTAAAACTGTTGTCAGAAAATACAACTCAAGTAAATTTATCTTGATTTAAGACTGTTCAGATATTTTTAGCTGGAAACAAAACAAAAATACTGAGTAAGTAAATGACTTTGCGCAGCATATTAGAATGATTACGTTGAAGTTGAATATTAGAGTCAATTCTCCTCAAAAGACTATTCGCCAGATTTCCTGGATGTGCTTTCGGAAGAAATAACTCATTTTGCGATTCTCAGCTTAAAATACATTTTTATTCCTGGACCAGGTTCTGTATGTCTCTCAAACTCTACAAGTTCTTCAAACATTTGCCAAATGTTTGTCTTTGCAGTGTGTCAGACTGGGAAGTTCGGCAGTAACTGTGCTCAGACCTGCTCGTGTCCCCCAAACCATTCCTGCGATCCTCACACTGGAGACTGTATATGTGTACCTGGACCAGGCGAGGACTGCAAACCAGGTATTAAAAGCAGCCTACAAACCATTTGAGTTAGGAACTCACATTTATTTGTTTTGGTTATGTTGAGATTGTCAATGGAAACGGTTGTTTGTTTTTCAGAAAAGGAGCTGAGTATGATGGTGCCTGTTTCTCCAGTGGAAAGGGACTCGTGGGGTGCGATCGCAGGCATTGTGGTGCTGGTGATTCTGGTTGTGCTCCTGTTGGCTGTTCTGCTATTATATCGGCGCAGACAGCAGGACAAACAGAGCAACACACCCGTTGTGTCTTTCTCCTCAACCCGCACAGTCAGTTCAGAGTATGCTGTACCAGGTGAGCTACAGGAGTTTCTGATACTTTCTAGAGCCTGACCGATAAAGGATTTTGAAGGCCGATACTGATACAAATATTTGTTGGTTTTAAAATCCAATATTCCGATATATCGGCCAATATATATATTTTTTTTTTTCTTCAGAAAAGCGCAACAAAACATTAACAGATTTCCCTAACATTAGTTATTTGTAGTTATTTATTTGAAATGTTCCTATTTTTGTTTTGGGAGTTCCTAAAAACAGTTCAACGTGCATGCAAGGATAAAAAACACTTTATTTGTCTTATAATATGCATTTATTTTTACCCGATTTGCTCAACGACTCCCAAATGATTTGTTCGACGATTCATTTTCCCAAACACCTCCTTTGAGTGACGCGAATCTGCGGCGATTGGTCAAATGACCCAGTTAGTTGTTATTGGTAAACGTAGGCAGAGATTGTCGGCAACGGAACACCCATAACCAGGATTACAGCTTGTCAAGTGTTGAAAATTGTAGTGTTTGAACAAACGCGTCAGAAAAGTGCACTTTCCACACGGTCCCTTACTCGCGTCTCCGTCAAAAGCGAGCTTTCCCGGCGAAACTCACATTGCGGCGGCTTTTGAAGGACAGTGCTTATTATATAGAGCGAAGTCATATTTGGCTAAGTCGTTTAGGAGGTAATTGCCATTTTTCAAAGAATGTCTGGTGAATAACAAAAACAAAACTAACTTTACCCCGCTTAGAAGCTGCGTGGAGTGTACACAACACAATATAACTATATTGTGCATGCTACAGAAAACATAACAGCAAACATTATTAATATTACTTACAGATTGTGATTCGGAGGAAGACGAACCTGCTCCATATACACTGGATTGCAAATATTACTCGTTGCAAATATGAACTCTGACCACTGATTCTTCACATGCTCGTCCCTGGACAATGGAAACAAGTGGCTGAACTGTCTTTGCAATGTAGAACACAGCGTCTTCTCGACATGATGCGATTCAGCTGAAGTATTTGAATGTGTTCTAGACGTCACTTCAAGTTTACACTTCAAGTTTACACTTCCGTATGTGCGCGCAGTTGTTGGGAGTGGCCAATGACCTCTCTACGTCACGATGTAACAGATAATGACTCGTTTCAAAAACAATTCATTTCATTGACTCAGAGTCGACTCTCACTTTTGAAAGACAATAACTATATACGGTGCACTTTCAGATATAAATCTTTGCAGGATGTTTTCATTCCCTTAGAGCTATATTCCACACTATATGAACAGTCATTTTCAAAAATCCATGATAGGTGCTCTTTAAACATGGTATTTTATGTGAGATTTGCATTTTTCTTGTAGATGTTCCACACAGCTACCATCACTATTACTCAAACCCGAGTTACCACACACTGTCTCAAAACAGACCTCCACTGCCACACCTGCCCAACAACCAAGACAGAGCCATCAAGGTATTACTACGGCTATGTTCTGAATACACTATCTATACTATGAATATTGCTGGCTCTGTGACAAATGGCCTGTTTGTACAGCAAGTCTGCTAAAAAATACATAAGCTTAACACTAAAATGTTCAGTATACAATGCTGTATCAGAGAATGCAGTCCACTTGATTTGCAATGAGATGAATGAACCAGAACGGGTTTACATTTTTAAACAGAATTCATGGAAGTCTATTTTCCACAAGAAAGAATCATGCTTGGGTAGATGCTAATGATAGGATACAGTCATCATCATGAGATAAAAAGTCGAAATTATGAGATAAAAAGTCAAAGTTATGACAGTCATAATGAGATTAAAAGTAATAATTATGCCATAATTATGTCAGCAGTAGTGCGCTGTTGTGCAGTATGTATTTTAAAACAAATTTTTAGCAATCATTGTCTGTTTTTGAAACAAAGCAAAACAATTTGTTTTCTTATATGAAGTACAGTATTTGCAAGCTAGATTTTGCACATACAACAAGAATGACCTTCATTTGTGTTTCATGCTTTGACAGAACACCAACAACCAGCTGTTCTGCAGTCTGAAGAACATGGAGAGGGAGAGGAGAGGTCTGTTTGTGGCTGAGACTAATGCTACTCTTCCTCCAGGCTGGAAACACCAGGAGCCACCCAAAGATACAGGTAATGGATACTGGAAAACAATATCCCCGTATTCCTGCACTATTGTGTTTTGTGTTGTGCATGCTGTCTGTCTGAGTAAATTGGATGTGGTCTTATTGTGTTTTCAGGGGCTTTTGGGATTGATCGAAGTTACAGCTATAGTGCTACACTTGGGAAGCACTACAACAAAGGTAAAAGTCCCCCAGATATTCTTCTTCTATAATCTATATATCTTGTTTAATTGTGTCTAACACCCTGTTGTGGTTGCAGAGTTGAAAGACTCCTGTGTGGCAGTGAGTAGCAGCTCTCTGAACAGTGAGAACCCATATGCCACCATCAAAGATCTGCCCGGCCTGCCACCATGTCCTCCAGAGAGCAGCTACATGGAGATGAAGTCTGCAGTGTCTCGTGAAAGATCCTACACTGAAATCAGTCCACCAGTCATGGCTCCCTCCACTCTGTCATGCAGAGGTATTTATTTTTATTAAAAGAAACTGGATATTACTGTCTGTTCTGGAGGACTTGAGAGGACTCGATATTGCAATATATGCTGTATAGTATAGCTGGGAAATTTATTTTTCAAATTGAAGATGTATTTTGCTTAAACTTTGCCAAAATGTACTTTAAGGGGCATGGAAATACATTCCCAGTCTTACAAAATATTTTTGGGCTAAATATAAATTGGACTGTCTAAATTGAAAATTAATAGCAGATGGTCAAAATATGTGAGGAAATACAGGTAACTAAAATGTCTCAAATTATATGCAAATTTATTTTTAAATATATATTAACAATATTGCTTCGAAAGTTTTGCATATTTTGCCATATGGGCACACGAGAATGTGGCTTTTTTTCTTGATGTGTCATGCATCACATCTGGTGTGAAATGTGTTTGTTCACTGTATTACAGAACATTGTTCCCTTGGCAACGTTGTGGAACAGGAACCTCAGAATCATTATGATCTGCCCATCAACAGCCACATTCCCGGGCATTATGATCTGCCACCAGTGCGAAGACCACCCTCCCCATCGCCACGGAGACTGCCCCGTTGATCGCCTTGAAAATAACTTGAAGACTTTGTTTCTCTGAAATCACTGCCAAAGACAGCTGTCTGCGTTACAAGCTGAATAATGAATTACAAAAACTGCCCACCACAGATGAATGGATATATGGATGGATGTGACCAAAACTGTGCAACAGTGCTATCTACTGGTCCTGGACAACACTAACAGCTGAATGTCCATGGAGAAAAATATCTTCTTTAAAGGCACTTAGCCCATTCAAGCCTGTAGAAAACAATGTTGCCAAAGACTGTATCACTCTTTTTCCATCTGACAATATTTCCCAGTGGCTAAACTACTGGCATACAAAATAGACAACCTTAGAAAGAGATTTTGACAACTTGCTGGATGCCATTTAGTGACTCGTAGGAATTACTATATAAAGATTTGTGAACGTCTTATGTGAAAAAAAGCAAAAGAACTAACACATATGCTCATTTAAAAGATGTTCACATTAAGACTTTCTAGAAAATATCTGGACATTAAAAGGTTAAATGCTCAATATCAATATCTGTTTTTAAATGCTATTCATGTGTCTTATCTAGTCTGGAAATCAGGGTGTAAATGACAATATAATTTTGAACAGCTACAGAACAAGCTTCACATAAGTTTATAATATACAGTGTTGGGAACATTTTTTATGAATGTCAGTTGAATTCAACCACAAGAACTGTAAATAGTGTAAATAAAATCAAACTTTCCATGCACAACTTGTCATGTAATTCATTAGGCATATCTGTGACCAAAAACAAAAAATTCTCTCATTTACTCACCCTAATGCTGTCCCTGATCCTTCTGTGGAACACCAAATAATCCATCTCTGTGTGGAAGTGCAGGTCCTTCATAGTTGACGCTTCAAAAACCATGCAAAAAGGATGCGATGAAAATCCATACGACCCCAGTTGATGAATAAGTTATATATTTTCAGAAGCTAAGCAATAGGCGTGTGAGGGAAATAACACTAATATTTCAAACACTAAACCATCACTTCCGACCAACTGTTAAAGCCTGCTCAGCACCACACTCAGCACGCCATGAAACGTGATAGTTGTGAAACTCCTGAGAGAAGTGACTGTTCTCGCGTGATCGCCCCACGGTGACGGGCCGGTTGCATAACCCGTCATCAATCCGGAAGTCGGCCATTTTGGAGGCACAGAACATAAACAATGCCATTGAACTGAACGGACTCGCAAATTTGACTGATTATTTCTGCTGAAAAATTGTCTAGTTTTGGTCTATACTAATCGGTCGCATTATAGGCCCCTATGTCTAACTTGTAAGCCTTAGGTTTATGTAACCGACTGCCTGCAGCAAATTCTTAAGATTTAATTGGTCATGTCAATCACAGTACTTATTGCCTACACCAAAGACTGACCCCTAAACCCATGTTTCTGAAACGGAAGGCTGCAAATCTCGGCTGCCACCGTGCCACGTCATGTCGCTGAAGGCCATCTCAATTTGAAGGATCCTTGGAGGCTTCCAAATGGCCTAGGATCACCCACAATCCTTTGCACACATTCCAATTCACGAAAATAAACTGATGGGAAATGAGTTGGTACTAAGCTTATGAAATGTAAGAAAAAATAATGTTTTCTGACAAAGCATTTTGTCTTTCGTTTTGCATTAAATTTTACAGTGTACATTTATCACTAAACTGCCAATAATGCAAACCACTGGGAGACCACAGAAGACTATCATTCAGTGTATTGCATTAATAGAAAAACATGTTAATATAAAGATATTTTATTATACAAAAGTATTTTTTCAAAATTAAGTTTTAATAGTATTTCCGTGCCGTGGGGGCAGGAACATGCGCACTTACTAGACTAGCGTTTAATTGTCTTTGGAGAATAGTATCCTATCAACACTTGCCAGAATTTAATTCAAGACATGTAGATATTGGTCTAAACATGTAAGCTTTTATTAACCAATATATTCAATCAGACTTATTAAAATTCAATCCATGTTTAACTTTTATGGTAATAAAAACAAAAGTCAGAAAATGGCTTCAGAATGGTTTTATTGTTTTAACTGAAACATTTCAAGGCACCGTTTATAACAAGGCTCTTGTTATGGGAAAGAAAATTCCACACAAAACAGTAAATTATATTTATAAAGACCAAAACAATTAACAAAACATTCCCTGCATTGCCCTGCAGTATTTTTTTTAACTTTTTCTTTTCTTTTTTTTTTTTTACAAAACCTTCATGAAATTGGCCATCTAACTAAAAAAAATAATAATTCAAAATAAAGATTTTTTTTAAATCTTTTTGTCTGATGATACAAATGTATACTAACAGAAAACTTTTGAATTGGAAACCCAGTCCATTGAAATCCCTCAATCCATTATCAGTTATCAAGAAATGGCTTATTACAATAACGCTAATGGCTGTTTAAGCAATAGAAAACCACAATTTGTAAGTATATGTGTATATATATATATATAGAAAAAATAGATATGCTATCCCAAAATTTTCTTTTAGAAACCCAAAGCTTTGTTAAGCAATAAAATAAAAGTTTAATATAAGCAATATCCAGTATCCAGTCCTCTTTCTGGAGAGCTGTACGTTGGCTCGGTTATGCTTCTAATTTCCTATGATGAAAGCTATTCCAATTTTTGTTTCAGGTCTTTTGTTCTCAGATTGCCCTAAACGGACTGGACATCTGTGCAGTGAAGGAAAAAACTGCTCAGATTACTGGAGCCTTACAGCTGTCCAGATGAGGAACTGGATCATCTACTGTAAGAGAGCAGTGACAAGAGCAAATCAACACTCAATTCCATAGAGAAACACAAATGTTTTAGTGTACATGATAAAACTCAAACATTTCAAGTACCACCGTAAAAAAGGACATTAAAGCTGGGAATGACGGCGGTCATTTTGCATATTTTTAAATATTCTGCCTCTAAGGCTGAAAACAAAAATACATCTCTTTAAATGCTGCAATCATTTAGTACTCAGTACTTTAAACACAACATGATTTTCGGGTAACATAATACATCAGATATGTTCTCCGCAAGTAAACTTCAAAGGTTTTCCTTCTAAAACAATGAATCAGCTTTTGTTTGAAATGTTGACAACATCTTGGCCAATGCAAACTGCTAAATTGATTTTCTTTGGATTGGTTTTAAAGTTGCTTCAAGTCTTTCAGAAACATCCCATAAACACTTATTACACAAGACACAACATACTGCAGTCTAGTTCGAGCTTGTAGGTGCACTGCCAAAAGACACACAGTACCTATTCAGCTGTGCAAGCAATTGTATCAAGGTACAAAGCAGTTTTACATCCAGAGCATCTGTATGTATTTTATATCCTGGAGTCTCACTGTAACAAAACAGCATAGAATTTCTGACTGTCTTTTCCCTTTTGTCGGTGCACATCATTTTGACCATCTGACTGCGAGAGGTAGCATGAAAAATACTTTAACACCTACTGACAAATAACTTTTGGGACAACAATGTAAAACGAAATCTCTAATTTCCTGATCTTACATTAACAGACACTCACTGTAAGTTAACCCGTCCTTAAATGTTAGCTAAAGAACCAGCCTGCAGTACAACTATAGTCCATGAGAGTTTTGCCACATGATCGAGAGGGTTTATTGACTGTGCGTGTTGCGTTCTGACAGCATTCTCGTGGAGAGCTCATGGTGTGAGTGTGAAGTGCTCTGTTCGCCTCTCTCCCTGAGTACAGTACGATTATTCTGAATCTGAAGCTGCTGCCGGGCCACCATGCAAATACATTAGAGTAACACACTGTACATAATAATAATCGCAAACTACAGCCTACAAGCTGCCAGCATATAAAGCCTTATGCCATAGAAAAGCCAAATCTATCCTGCAGATTATGAATACAAAACAAGAAAGAATGAAGTACAAAATATGTAATGTAATAAGACATGTAATCCAAAAAAGAAACTAGTTGTGGGATGAATTCCTCCTGGGTTGTGTTAACGGATAGGTGGCTACAGCTCAGCTCTTCTACATAATGGAGCAGTTGTCAAGTTTGGGTCCAGCCTGAGAGTGAGTGAGTGAGTGAGTGAGAGAGAGGGATGGAAATGTAAATATAACAAGACTGCTGTAAACAATTTATTATGCTTTTGTTTTACATTAACATTAAATGACCTACAGCAGTATATTAAAGGAGTAGTTCACTTTTAAAAAAACCTTTGCTATATATATAATGGACTTCAACGGGAACCAAACGGTTCAAGGTCCAAAAGACAGTTTCAGTGCAAACTGCAAGCTGTTCAAAGGGCTTTAAACAACACCAGATGATGAATAAGGGTCTTATCAAGAGAAACGATCTCTCATTTTTATGAACGAGTTCGAATAGGAGAGTCACGAACGCGTATCACCCTAACAGACCAAGGCAACCATTTGAGCTTATAAAACTTAAACTTTGTTATTTATTTATTAAATGATCAATCGTTTCGCTTGATAAGAGCCGTATTCATCGTCTGGAATCATTTAAAGCCCTTTGAACAGTTTGCAGTTTGTACTGAAAGTGTCTTTTGGACCTTGAACCGTTTGGTTCCCATTAAAGTCCATTTTATGGAGAAAAATGCTGGACCTTAATTTCTTAATTTTAACCAAAAACCTTAATTTCATTTCGACTGAAGAAAGAATGACATGGACATCTTGGATGACACGGGGGTGAGTAAATTATCAGCAAAGGGTTTTTTTTAAAAAAAAGTGAACTCATCCTTTAATAATAAAAAAAATCATCTTAAAAGCATTTACAAAAACATTTTTTTTTTTTTAAATCTAAAAATGATATCTATTTTAACAAATCAATTTAACTTTTTTTATTATACAAAAGGTATAAAATATTTCAAAAATAAAAAACAGACAGAAAGAGAGAAAACAACACAAAATACTGTTGCAACTGAAGAAGAAAAAAAAACACAAACCTGTCTGGGTTTGTCATTGCTCACGATGAAATGTGATGGTGACACAAAAGCTTCGGACAGCCCTCCTCCACTGGTGAACGAGCGGGACGCACTGGACACTCCCGAGCTGGCCGACACACAGGTGCTGTTTCTATCTGACGGCTGCCCACACGAGCCACAGAGCACCGTACGGCTGCGGAGATTGTACTCACTATCCCCGCATGTGCTATGGGCGGCCTGCAGGTGGAGACAGTGAGTGGAGAATATCAGAGAATGAAGTATGGCTGCTTTCTCAGTTCATTTTAGTGCTATGATTCACTGGATGGCTACACCCAAACAACCCATTAACAAAAGTGTAAACAATATACACCACATATTGTGAGAAAGATGCGTTTACAAACACTTTTAAAAGTTTGATTTCAGTCAGGCTAAGGTAAAAAGTCATGTTAAAGCTTTAGTCTGACTTGACTTGCAATTGAGACAAATGGCCTCTGTTGTGCACTTACATTGTCCTAAGGTCTCATGTTTTTATTTAAACCTGGCAAAACTAGAATAATGCTAAAATTGTGAGATTACTATATCAACTGAGATGTGCTAGTGACTATGTACCATCTCTTCATCTTCCTCATCCTGGAATAGAGTGCGTGTGACCTTCCTCATGGCCATTTCCTGGAAAATTGAGAAAAGCAAATTAGTCATTTAGCGATCTTAAATCAGATACAAAAAGCTGGTTGGTTTGTTTAACATGATCCCACCTCCCCACTGGCGCTGATGAGGGTAGTCTGGAACAGATCTCCACTGCCCCATGAGTTCTGGGTCTTCCACACCAGGTCAGAAGGAGGGTTGTGGGTTCCTCCAGCTCCCGATGCCCAAATCTGACAACAGAGATATACTGAAGTGAGCCAGGAATTTAAATGCAAGTTAAAGGTGACCATTACGTTGAAAATCGATACGTACTGTGACGGTCTGTCCCGCCTTCAGGTTAAATTTTGGTGGGAACTTGTAGATGATGGGAGTGCCGGAACCAATCTGCCTCTTTAACTGCCAGTGACCCAGAGTTTGATCCTGGGAGGAGGAAGAAGATTCATTTAATAAAAAGTAAATCATACTTAATTCCTCT